CTTTTGTCTACTGCATTTGTTATATATTTTCTCTGTAGTCTTCTATATGTGGGGGGACCCCAAAAAAACCCAGAATTATCTTTTGGAGGGCAGACCCCTTGTAGCACAGGCTTCCCTAGCTAGGTAAGTGTTCCAGGAATCCATCGTTATCAGTGGACCATCTAGTGTTATTGTGAGAGGCTGCATTTGTCTTCAGTGAATTTTTTCTGGAGATTCTTTCAATGCATTTGCCCATTTCATGATGAGTGATTTATGAGCGCATCTGCCCACACCGCACTGAGTGTTCAGCAGTTTTTGACCAAAAATAGCATGACTCCTATGCCGCACCCTCCCTATTCACCTGACCTCATCCTGAATGACTCCCCTCCCATAAAAAAAGTCTTCAAAGGGAAATATTTTACCCATGTGGAAGAGATGAAACAAAAAACAGCAGAAGCACTAAAAAACATCAACATTGATGAGATAAAAAACTATTTTGAGCAGTAGAAAAAGCATCTTGACAGGTGTGTTGAATCAGACAGAGCGTACTTTAAAGGTGAGTTAAGTTTAAACATGTAAGAATAAATACACAATTTTTATAAATAAATTCTGGGTTTTTTGGGGTCCTCCTCGTATTATCTTATTCTCTAATTTTCCTTGTGCATACATGTTTGTTATATGTATATATCTTTTACTGACTCCCTAATGAAGGCTCCCTGATTGCAAGAACTATCTTATACTGGCTTTGCAAATTTTTTAGTACTTTGTATGTAGATGATATGTAATTAATAGACATTTCTCAAGCACCATCAGCATTGAAGCTTCTGTGGATGATAACATTTGGGCATAATATAGATATACTTTAGTTAGCTAATTTTTGTTGTTGTCATTTTGTTTGTTTCTAATTTTTGAGTTGGGGTCCCACTCTGTCACCCAGGCTGGAGTGTGGTGGCACAATCATGGCTCACTGGAGCCTCAAACTCCCATCCCAGGTGATCCTCCTGCTTAAGCCTCCTGAGCAACTGGGACTACAAGTGCATGCCACCATGCCCAGTCAATTTTTTAGAATTTTTTTAGAGATGAGATCTTGCTATGTTGTTCAAGGCTGGTCTCTAATTCCTGGGGTCACGCGATCCTCCCGCCTCAGTCAGCCTCCCAAAGTGCTAAGATTACAGGTGTGAGCCACCATGCCAAGCCATGAGTTAACTAATTTTTAAACAAATGTGAATTAATGATACAAAACAGTATATGCTAAGAGCCAAAGGCAAGAACCAGGCATAAACACTCCAGGCACTGAGGAGAGGGAGGGAGGATGAGAAGGGAGAATTGTTTGAGGAAGGCTGCAGAGGGGAAGTTTGAGCTGCCTCTGAAGCAGAGGGAGAGTTTAAGCGAAGAGGGAAAATATATCATTCACTGTGGGGGGGGGGAGCACATGCAAAGGTCCTGGGGTGGAAACAGACACTGCCCGTGCAAAGGCAGGGAAGAGGCCAGCGTGGGAAGAGCTGGGACACTGCAGGGAGGCTCTGGTTACCACACCCAGGATGCTGAGTTTTGAGTTGGGCACACTCACTTCTGATGGCAGGTCAGTGCTGCCATCTCAGAGCTCCTGGGACAGGGCATGAGGTCTTCGTTCTTGCTGGGTACCTGTTCCGGTTTCTGCCAGTCCAGTGACCACCCATGCTCTCTGAGAAGCATAGGCAGAAGCTTCCAGGCAGAAGCTTCCACCTTGAGCTTGACCATAGGCACTCTTTCTCCTGGGGATTTTCTTTCTTGGTTGCCTCTGCCTGGCCACGCCTCTGAAGCAGTCATTCTGGTTTTTTGAAGACTGGAAGCTGGGAGGTCTGTGGTTTTGGTTTGTATTTCCTGGAAACCCTGGCCCAGTTCTGCCTACCCTGTCCCAATCAAAGAATAGCCACACCCTTAATTAAGAAAAAGGAAATGTCAGTGAGAATTGTGAGACAGGGAAGCCCAGTGTCTTTCTCTGGAAAGAACAAAGGCTTCTGTCCACAAACCAGCTTCAACACTGGCCCTTTGTATTCATTCATTCATTCACTCAGGAATCTGTGTTTTAATTGTTCTCTTCCAAAGCATCAGGCCGAGCATACAATATGTGTTTTCATTCCACAGAATTTCACTGTAGGCCTTTGATGTGAATAATATTAACATAGCCAGGTGTAGTGGCTCATGCATGTAATCCTAGCACTATGGGAGGCCAAGGCAGGAGGATTGCTTGAGCCTAGAAATTGGAGACCAGCATGGGGAACATAGCAGGACTTCATCTCTACAAAAACATCAAAAATTAGCCAGGCGTGATGACAAGTACCAGTAATCCCAACTACTCAGAAGGCTGAGGATTGCCTGAACCCAGCAAGTCCAGGCTATGGTGAGCTGTGATCATGCCACTGTATTCCAGCCTAGAAGACAGAGAGAGACCGTAACTCAAAAAATAATATTAAGATAGACTTTGGGGGGCGCAGGAAATAGTCCAAGAGGAAAGAACTTTCTGGCACGTGCAGTGGTGTTGGGACAGGAAGGCGCTCCGGTGGCTGAGACCAACCTGGAAGAAGGAGCATGGAGCTCCTCAGAGACCCCAGAAGACTTGAGAGTTGAAGGGCTGGCTCTGGGTTCTGGAGGGGAGGATGAAAGCATTGTCTCAGAGCTGCAGTGGACACAGCATTTCAGGGGGATTAAGATGCTCACCTGGCTAAGACAGGGGCATCGGGTGGAGGGGCTGTTGGACAAATGAGACTTGTGTGGAGGCTGTTTCTTTGGGGGCTCCCAAGGTCCAAATTGTGCTCAGAAATTTTCACAAACATAGAACCAAACACTTTTCTTTTTTTTTTTTTTTTAGTCAATCTCACTGTGTTGCCCAGGCTGTAGTGCAGTGGCATACTCACAGTCACCACAGCCTTGACCTGCTGGCCTCAGGCGATCCTTCTGTCTCAGCCTCCCAAGTGACTGGAACCACATCCAGGTGCCACCATGCCTGGCTGATTTTTTTATTTATTGTAGAGATGCAGTCTCACTATGTTGCTCAGGCTGGTTTCAAACACCTGAGCTCAGGTAATTCTTTTGCCCCTGCCTCCCCAAGTGCTGAAATTACAGGATGAGCCACCACACCCAGCTACCTTTATTTTTTTTTTAATTATTTATCTTTTGGAGTCAAAGTCTCACTCTGTCACCCAGGCCAGAGTGCAGTGGGCGTGATCATGGCTCATTGCAACTTTGACCTGCTGGACTCAGGCAATCCTTCCACCTCAGCCTCCTGAGTAGATGAGACTATAGGTGCGTGCCACTACGCCCAGCTAATTTTTTATTTTTTGTGTAGAGATGAAGTCTGGCTTTGTTGTCCAGGCTGGTCTTGAACTCTTAGGCTCAAAGCAATCCTCCCACCCTGGCCTCCCAAAGTGCTGGGATTACAGACGTGAACCACCGAATTCAGCCAGAAACAAATATCTTTCTAATTTGGATTTATTTATATGCTTATAATGCTTATATAAATTCATTTTAAAAATGCAATGCAGTCCAGATGCTGTGGCTCAAGCCTGTAACCCCAGCTCTTTGGGAGGTGGAAGTGAGAGGATTGCTTGAGCCCAGGGGTTTGAGACCAGCCTGGGCAACTTGGTGAGACCTCATTTCTACAATAAATTTAAAAATTAGGTGGGTATGGTGGTGCACACCTGTAGTCCCATCTATTTGGGAGGCTGAGGCAGGAGGATTGCCTGAGCCTAGCAGGCCAAGGTTGTGGTGAGCCATGATTGTGCTACTGTACTCCAGCCTGGCCAACAGAGTAAAACTCTGACTCTAAAACAGAAACAAAAACAAACCGCAATGTGAGTTGTGGCCTGTTAAGTTTCCAAATGCCATGTTGAAATCAGCCTCAGGCCTCTGCCTTGCTGGGACCTCCCTTGTGTACTCAGCCAGGCCGTCATGAGTGTCTACAAGTGGAGGAGAGAAATTCCGATTCTCCTGTCCAGGGCTGCGTGGAGAGGTGTCCGTAGAAAGCCCTCACCCCACCCAGAGCCATGCCTGGCTCTGCACACAGGGGCTAGGAGGCTGGTCCCCCTCGGCTGGGCTGGGGGGTGATTTCAAAGTTCCCCAGGTCATACCCGGAGGCAGCCTGAGGAACCAGATTCTGAATCAGACAACCCTCAGGGAACCAGCCTTGCATTTAGAGACCTTGATTTTTGGCTTGGGAGCTTGGGGGATGTGATTTTTTAAATGCACTGCATGTGTCCAGTCATGGTGGCTCACGCCTATAATCCCAGCACTTTGGGAGAAGGTGGTGGGAGGATTGCCTGAACCCAGAGGTTTGAGACCAGCCTGGGCAACTTGTTGAGACCTTATCTCTACAAGAAATCAAAAAATTAGCTGGGCGTGGTGGTGGGTACCTGTAGTTCCCCTACTCAGGAGGCTGAGGCAGGAGGATCCCTTGAGCCCAGCCGGTGGAGGCTGTGACAGCTGCTCTCCAGCCTGGGTGACAGAGTGAGACTCCAATTCAAAAAAAAAAAAAAAACCGGGCTTGGTGGCTCAGCCTGTAATCCCGCACCTTTGGGAGGCTGAGGTGAGTGGATTGCCTGAGCCTGCAGGTTCAAGACCCGCCTGGGCAACTTGGCGAGATCACATCTCTACAATAAATCAAAAAATTAGCCTGGCGTGGTAGTGTGTGCCTGTAGTTTCAGCTACTTGGAAGGCTGAGGCGGAAGGATCGCCGGAGCCCAGCAGGTCGAGGCTGCAGTGGCTGGGAGCAGCCACTGCACTCCAGTCTGGGTGACAGAGTGAGACTCCAACTCAAAACAAAACAAAACAAAAAAAAAACAAGAAGAGAAATTAAAACCCTTTCAGAGACCTGCGTTTTTACTTCTTCTCTTTGTTCTTTTGGATCATGTGTGTCCTGGAGGTCCAAGTGAATGAGTCACATCCCGAGGCCGTTTCCTGCCTCCTCTGCCTTGCCTCTCAGGGGGTCTAAGGGGACACCGGCCATGCAGTTGAGTCTGACGCCATCTTGTCTTTTCCACCAGAATTCAGACATCCTCAGCACCATCGGCTATGACAGTATCCTCCAGCACCTGAACAACGGCCGCAAGAACTGCAAGGAGTTTGAGGAGTTTTTAAAAGAGAGGTAGGACACTCTGCTTCCTGTGGGGTCCCCCTCATCACCACAAGAGGCAACTACTGCTTTCCATTTGTGTTTCTCGGTTCTGAAGACCCACTGCTGTGGTTGTGGATGGCACCCAAGGAGGGGGAAAGCTCTCTGTTAGAAACTAATGAAAGATAACACTTACGATGAGGGCTGGGTGTGGTGGTTCATGCCTGTCATCCTAGCACTCCGGGAGGCGGAGGCGGGAGGATAGCTTGAGCCTGGAGTTCAAAACCAGCCTGGGCAATATAGTGAGACCGCGTCTTCACCGAAAAATCAAAATACAAAAATAAACTGTGGTGTATGTCTGTAGTCCCAGCTACTCAGAAGGCTGAAGTGAGAGGATTGCCTGAGCCCAGGAGGTTAAGGCTGTGGTGAACTGTGATTGTGCCACTGTACTCCAGTCTGGGTGACAGAGTGAGACCTGGACTCAAATAAATAAATAAACAAATAACTAGTTAATAGTCAACAGCTAGTGAAATATCACTGAAGTACAGAATGTATTTTCTACAAAAATGAAGCAAAAGCAACATGAACCCCAGCCCTAGGAGGTTGAGGCTCGTCAGTGCTGATTGACTTGTCCTTCACAGCCTCAGATACCCGCAACTGTTTAAAGCAGAAACAGAAAGTTAAGATGTTTTAATCTAGAGCCCCTTATTTATTTGCCTATTTTTTTTTTAATGTCAGAAGGATCTTTTAGGAACTAATACTTCCTGTGGCAAAAAACCAGTTATTTAAAATTCAGCAATTCCTTTCGTTTCACTTCCATGTTTTCTTCCTCTGTGATATTCACATCAAATGGGCTTGAAATCTTTATTTTAAAAAGCATATTGAGCCGGGCATGGTGACTCGTGCCTGTAATCCCAGCACTTTGGGAGGCGTAGGGGAGAGGATTGCCTGAGCCCATGGGTTTGAGACCAACTTGAACAACATGGTGAGACCTCGTCTCTACAATAAATAAATTAGCCAGGCGTGGTGGTGTGCGCCTGTGATTCCAGCTGCTTGGAAGACTGAGGCTGCAGTGGCTGTGAGCATGTCACTGCATTCCAACCTGGGTGTCAGAGTGACTCTAACTCCAAAAAAACAAAAACAAAAACAAAAAAACATATTGAGGTCTCTTCTTTTGAGATTGTTTGTTGTGTCTGTCTGACTATCTATCCTGTCTGCATACTGGCATAAAGAAATGCCCGTTGCAATCATCACTAGATGTTAATTCTAGCTGTCTTCAGTTGGTGGAATTTTGGAGGGTTTGTTGCATTTTTATTTTATGAGGCACAACTGCACTAGAACTCAGGGAAATGCAAATTAAAATGAGAAATTCTTTTTGAAAAATTTTCAATCTCCCTCCTCAGGCTGGTAGCAATGAAAAAAGACCATTACTGTAAGTGTATCTGAGCATTCACTTATAGTAACTTATAGGGCATGGGGGTCGTCTGCACTTTTTGTGGAAGTATACATTGAGAGGGCCCTTCCGAGAATACTTTGGGCTACTTTTCACAGTATAAACTGCATATCCTTTTCATCTAGAAAACACTCTCAGACATGCCCATGGGGATATGACCAAGCAATTTTTTTTTGTTTTTTTTTTTGGTGGTAACAAAAAATTGGAAACAAATCAGGGGACCTTGGGCCATGGAAAACTCTATATTATGAACACAGCAACCCAGTGGACCTATGTAGGCTGAGGAAAGCCATATATGATAGACTGCTAGCTCAAAACCAGAGCAGCAAGTCACAGATGATTACAGGCACGAGTCACCGTGCCCGGCTCAATATGCTTTTTAAAATATGTACACAAAGGAAGACATGTCCACTTGTCCATGTGAAGGACAGGATGGGACTGCAGAGAAAGAGACTTTGAAACATCCCCCAGCCTTGCCAGCGACTGTCCTTGGGGGAGCAGTGTGGAGGGGCAGGCCTCAGACAATGCACCTTTGTGTGTTGGAATCTTGCATAGGAATGTCTTCATTTACTACTTAGGTAATTCTTTAAAATCTGGAGGAGGGCTGGGCTTGGTGGCTCATGCCTGTCATTCCGACACTTTGGAAGGTAGAGGTGAGAGGATTGCCTGCGTCCAGCGGTTCAAGACCAACCCGGGCAACTTGGCAAGACCTCTTGTCTATAATAAATCAAAGAATTAGCGGGATGTGGTGGCACATGCCTGTAGCTACTTGGAAGGCTGAGGCAGAAGGATTGCCTGAGTCCAGCAGTTCGAGGCTGTGGTGACTGTGAGTGTGTCACTGTACTTCGGGCTGGTCAACAGAGTGAGTCTCTGACTAAAAAAAAAAAAAATGGAGGAAGAAAATGTGGTAGACAAACCTCCATTCCTCCTACCTCATCAGAGGGTATAGACAAGGCTGAGTTCAGACAAGAAGTTATGAGGGTGGCAGAAAGCAGCAGGGGATGGAGAGGTTGGGGATACAGAGGACACTGAGTGCTTGACACAGACACTGAATGCTGCACTCACATGGGCTGCTCTGACTGCAGAGTATCCATCACAAAACCCTGCTTTCTTTGTCCCAGTGGAGGCACATGTTGAATGACTGAGTGAGCACTCTGGGATGGTCAGGGGGGCTTGAGGAGATGGGGACTGGACCACCGGTACAGTGTTCCATGAACTCTCTCTTGTTCCACTTGAGAAATGCCTGGGGTTCCCGTCCATATTGGGGCTTTCTAGCTGGAGAACGCCACCTCAGACCTAATGGCCAGCAGCCTTGTCACAGTCTGTCCCTGTGTTAATCTAATATTGTCAGATTTTCAGAGTAAGAAGAAAGAAATATAAACATAAAATTAAAGAAGTAAAAGTTCTATAAAGTTAAATTAGAATTGGAAACACCAGCGTGAAGTCACGCTTTTAAAATCTGTCCTCTGAAAGTCCCAGTCCTCTGTGACAATGACCAATGCTAGAACTGAGAATCTGATTTCTAAATAGAATTAATCACTAAAGGGGGCCAGGCACACTTGGAGAGATAACTGGAGGACATTTTGCACTTCAGAGAAGGGCATATCTGAGCTTCTCTCCGCAGATGCATTGCCACCCAGGGGATGTCACTGTGCCCTAACCAAGGATCTTGTCCTTCCTCTCTTCTGTTCCCCAAGGGCAGCGATTGAAGAGAAATATGGCAAAGACTTGCTCAGCCTCTCGAGGAAGAAGCCGTGTGGCCAGTCTGAGATCAAGTAGGTGCCACGTTTCTCTGGCTTCCAGGTGGGCTAATAATGCCCAGGGGCCCCCACTGCTTGAGCAGAGAGAGTTGGCCAGGAGGTTGAAGGGTGTTGGCTGAAGAAAATATGGGTTTTTTTGGGGGGGGGCTGCTGGGGAGGTTGGTGAGGGTCTCACTGTTTTGCTCAGGGTGAGTTCCAACTTGCAATCTTCCTGCCTCAACCTCTAAGTAGCTGGACTATAAGCATGTACTACTGTGCCCGAACTGGAAAAAAGATTTATTTTTTCTTAGTTTCAATTGTGAAAAGTCTAGACAAGCAGAAAGAAAGCTAAAATGGACTATGAAGATTCAATTCATTGTTATTGTTTTTTAAATTTTCTTTGAAGTCTTTTTATATGCATACTTTTCCATAGATAGGCTTATGTATGATATATAATTTTATATTATAAATTTAACAGAGGGACTTCTTGCTTTATATATACATATATTTATAAAATAATGATAAAATTATACATATAAAAATATGAAATTATATATGTTTTATGGTTTGTGAAAGCTATGAGAAACTGTCTTTGCACCATTTTACTGGGATGACTGAGAAAGAGGAAAACATTGAGAGATATTAAAAATATTAAGAGTTATATAAACCTAGAAAACTTGTTACCCTCGGAGATAGGACATTAGTACAAGGAGAATTTGTTTATTCATTGATTAATTATATTTTGACTGGTGTATTGGCTCACACCTGTAATACCAGCAGCACTTTGGGAGGCTGAGACAGGAGGGATAGCTTAATCTCAGGAGTTCGAGACTGGCCTGGGCAACATAGCAAGATTTCGTCTCTCCAAAAAATAAAAAATAAGCGGGGCATGGTGGCACACATCTGTAGTCCCAGATATTCCGGAGACTGAGGCAGAAGGATCACCTGAGCCTAGGAGGTTGAGGCGGTGATGAGCCATGATCGTGCCCTCTAACCTGGGTGGCAGAATAAGACCCTGACTAAAAAAAAAAAACAAAACATATTTTATCTTATCTCTGATGTTTTAAATGAAAAAAAAAGTACAGAAAAATAAAAAGACAAACATAGCAAAGAGCTATGCACCCATACCTAGACTTCACAATTTTCACATTTGTCCTGTAGATTTTTCAATTATTAAGAACATAAATACTTTAACTTTATTATTTATTTATTTAGTTTTTGAGTTGGAGTCTCACTCCGTCGCCCAGGTTGAGTGCAGTGGCACGCTCACGGCCATCCCAGCGCTGACCTGCTGGGTTCAGGTGATCTTTCCTCTTCAGTCTTCTAAGTAGCCAGAACTACATGTGTGCACTACCACACCTGGCTAATTTTTTGACTTATTGTAGAGATGAGGGCTCACCAAGTTGCCCAGGCTGTTCTCGAACCCGTGGGCTCATGCAATCTCCTCACCTTGGCCTCCCAGAGTGCTGGGATTATAGGCTTGAGCCACCACGCCCGGCCTTAACAGTTTAATTTTAAACCTGGAAGCAGCTATCTCTCCAAGTGTGCCTGGCCCCTTTTAGTGATTAATTCTATTTAGAAATCAGATTCTCAGTTCTAGCGTTGGTCATTGTCACAGAGGACTAGGAGTTTCAGAGGACAGATTTTAAAAGCATGAATTCACACTGGTGTTTCCAAATCTAATTTAACTTTATAGAACTTTTACTTCTTTAATTTTATGTTTATATTTCTTCTTACTCTGAAAATCTGACAATATTAGCATAATTGTTTGCTTTACTTGATGATGTCTATTAAATTGTTTCAAAATAATACCATTATTGCTACTAACAATGAAACTTCTGGAGGAAGTCTAGCATATCTTTGTAGTTCCTTTTATTTGTTTTAGTTTGTTTTAAATTTTATGGGTTGTTTTCTTTTTTTCTGTTGGATTTAGTTTTATGTTTTGAATATGTAAAGCATTTGCATGTCCAAAGGTCAAAATTGTATTAACTTATCTAAGTTTCACTGTCACTTAAGGAGGGTTTAGATCATTTTATGGAAGATTAGTGGGTCAGTTTACCAAAAACTTGTATATTTCTAAAGAAGGCATAAGCCTTTGGAAATAGATCCCAATGTTTTTTTTTTTTTTTGAGTTGGAGTCTCACTCTGCTACCCAGGCTGGAGTGCAGTGCCATGCTCAGGTGATCCCTCTGCCTCAGCCTTCCAAGTAGCTGGTACTACAGGCGTGTGCCACCACGCCCGGCTAATTTTTTGATTTATCATAGAGATGAGGGCTTGCCAAGTTGCCCAGGCTGGTCTCGAACCCCTCGACTCAGGCAATCTTCTCACCTCTGCCTCCCAAAGTGCTGAGATTACAGGCATGAGCCACCACGCCTGGCCAATATCCTAACATTTTTGACATGATATCATGGAGAATAGCTATATTCTCTCAACAACTTCTTGAAAGGGATATTTAGCAGAAATAATCTGACCTGAAATGATATTTCTTTTTTTTTGAGTTGGAGTCTCACTCTGTCACCCAGACTGGAGTGCAGTGGCCGCTCCTGGCCACCGCAGCCTCAACCTGCTGGGCTCCGGCGATCCTTCCGCCTCAGCCTTCCAAGGAGCCGGAATTACAGGCATGCGCTACCACGCCCGGCTGATTTTTTGATTTATTGTAGAGATGAGGTCTCGCTGCCCAGGCAGGTCTCGAACCCGCGGGCTCAGGCAATCCACTCACCTCAGCCTTCCAAAGGCGCGGGTTTACAGGCTGAGCCACCGAGCCCGGCTTGAAATGATATTTCTTATGTCCTTATGCATTTGACGTAAACTCAGTGAATTCGTGGAGAGACTCTGTGACATTCTTTTCTGTTCCTTGCTGAAAGCCAGTCAGTTTTACTTCTAAGAGTTTACCTCAGACAGGAAGACACCATGGGATATGAGAACTGGGACTTTGTTTCCAAGACTGAAGTGAAAGGCTATTTAGGAGACTTCTGCTTTTTGACACAATCAAAAATGCCCTAGGTGAGAGCACATGCTTTTGCTTATCTGTGGATGAGGTAGGCATTTTGACTTCATTGGCCACCTGGTGAGACTTAGGCCTGTGATGGGACCTGTTAGTGTTTAAAGCTGAAGAGCTTTTTAAAAAGGTGGTAGAGGTCAGGTGTGGTGGCTCATGCCTATAATCCTAACACTTTGGGAGGCTGAGGTGGGAAGATCACTTGAGCCCAGAAGTTCAAGACCAGCCTGGGCAGCATAGCAAGATCCTGTCTCTGCAAATAATAATAATAATAAAAATAGCTTGGCATGGTGGCCTGCATCTGTAGGCCCAGCTGCTGGGGAGGCCAAGGTGAGAGGATTGCTTGAGCCCATGAGCTGGAGGCTTCAGTAAGCTATGATCATGCCACTGCACTCAGGTCTGGGTGACAGAGTGAGAGTCTCTAAAAATAAAAAGACCAAAACAAAACAAAAAGAAGTCTTAGTCTTTGGCTGTCTTCTCAAGCTCATGGACACAGATGCGACTGTATGCTTTAAGTTAAATGTGGGCAGAGCGAAGCATGCAAAGGCTTTGGAATAGGGTTGTGCAGACACTTTCCAGAACTGAAATCATGTGTATGTTTGTTTGTAGCACGCTGAAGCGGGCCCTTGATGTCTTCAAGCAGCGTAAGTAACTTTTAAAAATGCTTTTGCTACCCTTGGCAAGCTCTGTGTCTGTCATCAGAGGGGAGGTTTCAGTTTGAACAGCCATTTCATGTTGGATGAAAAAAAAATGAGAGCAACTGTTAAAGTGAGAAATATCTCAGCTGGGTTGAAATGAGATGGAAAACCCGCCGCTTGGGCATGTCAGGACATGTGTTGGCCTGGCCTAGAGCTTCTCACACTTGAGCGAACCTCAGAGTCACAGTAGGGGCTGATAATTAACATAGATTCCTGGGCTGCACCCCCAGAGTTTCTGATCTGGGAAGTCTGGGGTGTGGCCTGAGATCTTGCATGCCTTGAAAGTTCCCAAGTGATTGGCAGTAGCGGGATGCCATCTGGGGCGGTGGGGTGGGGGAACACAACATCAATAAAGGTACCTGATCTCAAACCAGGCAAAGTAGGGACCAAAGGGAGGCCCAAACATTACCTGTATGATGACCACTTGTATACCTAATCCTGAATTATACTCTACATCTTTAAAATAAAATTAAAGTTAAAAAAAGAGAAAGTTCCCAAGTGATGCTGGTGCCACTGGTCCAGGGCCAACACTGAGAACAGCTGCCTTAGGGGACCAGATCTTGCCTAGTTCTAATTCAGAGACTCTGCCACCCAGGTGCTCACCCACACCCCCACCTGTCTCAACTGGGCTTGTCTGCTGACCTAACTCTTTGTATGGTTTTATGCTTGGTTGGTTTCCTCCTCCCAGAGCCATATCTGCAGGGCCTCAGACTTTGGGCCAGTGTTGTGATGTCATTTCTCCCAGTCACCAGACATTTTTGTCCCGGAGAAATCTTAAATTACACCAAGCATTAAAGGAAACATTACCTCAGTCTCTTCACCTCCTACTTGTGGCCCTAGAACTTCTGGCCCTGTCACTTGGAACTTTTCTCTGTCCAAGAACACCAGCAACCTTTGTGCCACTAAGTCCAGCAGATGCCTTCAGGTCTCTTCTCACCTGACTCTTGAGTAGCATTCAGTGTAGTTGGCCATTCCTTCCTTCTTGAAACTCTCATCCAGACACCGTTGGCTTCTTTCTGCTTCTCTAGCTACTTCTCCATCCATTTCTTTGTACCTCTCTACTCAGTGCCTCCAAATGAACGTCCCTGAAGCTTGGTCCTTGCCCTACTTTTCTAGTCTTAGGTAAACTCATCCTGGTCCTTGGTCCTCACCCTTCTCTTCTAGTTTTAGGTAAAATCATTCTGGTCCTTGCCCTTCTCTTTTAGTCTTAAGTAAACTCATCCTGGTCCTTTGTCCTCATGCTTTTCTTTTAGTTTTAGGTAAACTCATTCTGATCCTTGTTCTCGCCCTTCTCTTCTGGTCTTAGGAAAACTCATCCTGGTCTTTGATCCTTGCCTGTCTCTTCTAGTCTTAGGTAAACTCATCCTGGTCCTTGGTTCTTACCCTTCTCTTTTAGTCTTAGGTAAACTCATCTTGGTCCTTGGACCTTGCCCTTCTCTTTTGGTCTTAGATACATTCATCTTAATCCTTGGTCCTCACCCTTGTCTTTTAGTTTTAGTGAAACTCATCCTGATCCTTGGTCCTTGCCCTTTTCTTTTAGTCTTAAGTAAACTCATCCTGGTTTGGTCCTTGCCCTTCTCTTCCAGTCTTAGGTAAACTCATCCTGGTCCTTGGTTCTCACCCTTCTCTGTAGTCTTAGGTAAACTCATCATGGTCCTTGGTCCTTGCCCTCTCTTTTAGTCTTAAGTAAACTCATCCTGGTCTTTGGTCCTCACCCTTCTGTTTTAGCCTTAAGTAAATTCATCCTGGTCCATGGTCTTTGCCCTTCTCTTTTAGTCTTAAGTAAACTCATCCTGATTTTTGGTCCTTGCTCTTCTCTTTTAATCTTAAGTAAACTCATCCTGGTCTTTGGTCCTCACCCTTCTCTTTTAGTCTTAAGTAAACTCATCCTGGTTTTCAGTCCTTGCCCTTTTCTTTTAGTCTTAAGCAAACTCATCCTGGTTTTTGGACCCTGCCTTTCTCTTTTAGTCTTAAGTAAACTCATCCTGGTTCCATCCTTGCCCTTTTCTATTAGTCTTAGGCAAACTCATCCTGGTCTTTGGTCCTAGCAGTTCTCTTCTAGTCTGCTCAGGTAAACTCATCTGGGTCCCTGGCATCATCTACTGCCTTTACATAGAGACAGTATATATGCATCATCAGACCAGAGTTCTTGAAGTCCCATACTTGACATCTTTCCACCTACTTAATACTTCTTCTTGGATATTTCAAGGGCACCTTATATTCAGATTGTTTGTGTGTGAATTTGTGATTTTCTAGACTGATTGCCCAAGGACCTTTGAGATCTGTTTCTAGTTCCACATCCTGTTGCCTCCTTGAGAATTCTTATTTATTTAGCCTGAGTGCAATAACTCATGCCTGTTATCCTAGCACTATGCGGGGTGAGGCGGGAGGATCATTTGATCCCAGGAGTTTGAGACCAGCCTGTGCCACATAGCAGGACTCCATCTCAAAAAAAAAAATTTGTTGTTAATTATTATTTTTTGATTCTTTTCTCCCTAAAGTCAGGAGAAATGACGGGACCCCCTTTCCCATTTTTTCTCCTTCAGTTTCTTAAGAGGAGACCCTAATGGGAGGTAGGTCTCTCATGTTTTGGATTTATTTGTCCATTTTGAATGTGGCATTCTAATCTTAGCACACTCTTTGAGATAATTAAAGGCTGATTCAGAAAAAAATAGTAAGTCGTTTGAAATAGCAATGTCACAACTATCAGGAATCATCTTTGTTGGGGTGAGGCTCTACTTCTCTGTGTGTTTTTGAAGCTAATTCTGTGCTGTTCTTGGGTGGCTGAATATTTAATTGGTGTCATGTCTTGAGAGGAAACAGAAGACATAAGTCTTAGTGCCTCCAGCCTTCTCTCTTAATTTCTCAGTTCCTCGTTCTAGATGTGGCCTTTGGTTATAAATGTAAGTTGGATCAGCCAGCAGATTTTAAGTTAGTTCCTATTATTCTAATGTGATGATAACCAGGAGTTGGGAAATCAAGGGTGAGGCCCTGGCGCTTTGATCTCCAAGGGATCCTGGCCAGTTCTAACATCCTCCAGTCCTGCTACTCAGAAACCATCTCCAGGGCTTTCTGTTTTTCAGAATATTTGGTGATCCAAGCTAAGGATTTTAACATAGCATAGGACATATAATGTGTGCTGAAAGTGTTTCTGTAGCTGGTTGAGTGGTTCTAGACCTCTGGAAATGTTAGCTAAATATTTATCTTGGCTTTTCCATGAAGGTGTATTCTTCATCTTTAATTTATCAATGAATACATTTCCCAGGATAGGGATGGTATTTTTTTACATTCCCTATGTGCACTGTAAGGCCAGACATGTTGTGGCCCACAGGAACCTCAGTGTAGGCTATGTCTCCTGTAATTTCTTTTCTTTTTTGGCTATTACTTTACTTGCTTCTTTTGTCTCTAAAAAATAAATTTCTTTTCTTTCTTTCTTTTTTTTTTTTTTGAGTTGGAGTCTCACTCTGTCACCCAGACTGAGTGGAGTGGCCACTCCCGGCCACTGCAGCCCCGACCTACTGGGCTCCGGTGAACTTTCCGCCTCAGCCTTCCAAGTAGCCAGAATTACAGGCACGCGCTACCACACCTGGCTGATTTTTAAAATTTTTGTTTATTTATTTATTTTATTTTATTTTTTTTGAGTTGGAGTCTCACTCCAGACTGGAGTGCAGTGGCTGCTCCCGGCCACTGCAGCCTCAACCTACTGGGCTCCGGCGATCCTTCAGCCTCAGCCTTCCAAGGACCTGGAATGACAGGCATGCACTACCACGCCCAGCTAATTTTTTTTTTAATTTATTTATTGTAGAGATGAGGTCTTGCCAAGTTGCCCAGGCGGGTCTCGAACCTGTGGGCTCAGACAATCCACTCACCTCAGCCTCCCAAAGTGCGGGATTACAGGCTGAGCCACTGAGCCTGGCTAGATTTATTTTCTTATTAGAATAATATGTATATTTATCTTAAAAATTCATATTCAAGTGAGTCAACTATCTATAAGGAAGATAGTAAATACTGGAATTTTCACTGCTCAGTGATGAGCAGTTGTTGCCTTAAGACATTTTCAGGCAACTAAACATATATATTTCTACTATATATGTATTTATTCATATACGAGGGGGGAAACTACCCCCGCCAAAAAAACCAGAATTATCTTTTGGAAGGCAGATTCTTTGTAGCACACTTGGAATTTGTTCCTCTGGATCAAACAGTCAATCAAAGTTTTTAATCTGGAAGTTTTGAAAAGATTGTGTCACAATTTGCAGAAGAAATGTCCTGATTCTTCCACCGTGAAAACGCACCTGCCTACAACACACTGAGTGTTCAGCAATTTTTAAAAAGGAGAAACAGCATGACCCCTGTGCCCCACCCTCCTTGTTTACCCGATCTTACCCTGAGGATTTTGTTTCATTGGAAGAAAAAAATTTCTCAAAGGACTTTTTGCCAATGTGGAAGAGGTGCAACAAAAAATGACAGGAGCACTGAAAGTTGTCCAAATGAACAAGTAAAAACTGTTTTGAGCAGTGGAAAAAGCATCTTGATAAATATATTGAATCCAACAGAAAATATGTAAGAATAAATACACAATATTTATAAATAAATTCAGGTTTTTTGGGGTCCCCCTCATATATGTATATATATGTATATATACATATATATATATTTTTAAATTTTGTATGACTTTGTATGCTTGAATTCAACCATGTGTAGTCCTTGATTACTGTTTTTAAATATGCTCTCTGCAGAAGTCGACAAAGTGGCCCAATGCCACATCCAGCTTGCACAGACGCTAAGGGAGGAAGCCAGGAAGATGGAAGAATTTCGGGAGAAGCAAAAGCTGCAACGGAAAAAGGTTGGCTGTCTGTGTGCTAAGATGTCTCCTCTCTTGCAGAAACTCCAGGTCTGTGTGTTCTGACCACCCCCCCACCTCCCTGCAACCACACTCTTCTTTAACCTGAGAAAGTGCTTCCTGGGGTCTCCAGGGGGGACTTCCTATGGTTTATTATTCCTGCCCCCCGTGCCTGCACCCCAGCCAGTCCTTCTTGTTTCAAATTTTTGCAGGACTTGGAGGTCTATTTTGCATTTCTCTTCTCTTCAGGTCTGCCACCACTATTCAAACTATGACCGGAAAGGATACCCCTCTTTTTGGGGGGTGTGAGATCTCCCTCTGTCACACAGGCTGGAGTGCAGTGGCACAATTATGGCTCACCTCAGCCTCGAATTCCTGGGCTCAAGTGATCCCCTCCTGCTTCAACCTCCTGAGTAGCTGGAACTACAGAGGTGTATCACAACCATGCCCGGCTAATTTTTTAATTTTTTTGTAGAGAGGAGGTCTCACTATGTTGCCCAAGCAAAAAAAATCAAAGAATTAGCCAGGCATGGTAAAGTGCACCAATAGTCCCAGCACTTCAGGAGGCTGAGGCAGGAGGATTGCTCCAACCCAGGAGTTCAAGACCAGCCTGGGCCATATAACGATACCTCATTCTCCACACAAAAAAATGATTGTGCCATTGCACTACAGCCTGTGTGACAGAGGGAGATCTTGTCTCTAAAAAAAATAAAAATAGGCCGGGTGTGGTGGTTCATGCCTGTAATCCCAGCACTTTGGGAGGTGGAGGCAAGAGGAATGCCTGAGCCCAGGGGCTCGAGACCAGCCCCAGCAACTTGGCGAGACCTCGTCTCTAGAATAAATCAAAAAAATTAGCCGGGTGTGGTGGTGCATGCCTGTGGTTCCAGCTTCTTGGAAGGCTGAGGCAGAAGGATTACCTAAACCCAGCAGGTTGAGGCTCCAGTGGCTGTGAGCATGCCACTGCACTCCAACTTGGGTGACAGAGTGAGACGCCGGCTAAAAATAAATAAGTAAATAAATAAATATTAAAGATATCCTGATTTATAGGAAAGTGTTACTTGGGCTAGACCAGCCATTACTCTGACTTCTTTCTATTTAATTCCTGAAAGATTAAAGACTTTTATACTCAGGTTTACCCTGCAGGCAAGAATTTCTCTGTCTGGTCTCCAAGCCTGGATCCCTGGCCTTCCATGGGGGCAAGTTCTGCCCTATCTGGCACCCATGTATTTCCACCCAGGTCCTCTGGGATGACTCTTCAAGGGCTTTCAGTGACATCTTTCATCCCACGTGGGGATCCCTTGGGAAACCTTTCCTTACTGGGCCCAAGCGTGTCTGCCATGTCTGTCACATAAACAGTGGGCCATGGAGGCTGATTCTACCTGGTCCTATCTCTGCAACTTGGCCTGTGGCTCGGAGTTGGCGTCTAGGCCCAGCTTCCCTGGTGACCCCGGGTGTCTGGCATTGGGAGCAGCAGCAGCATCCTCAGAGCCTGACTGCCCACACGGTTGTGGTTTCATGGGCGGGCCTCATCACACAGCTGCCTCGCCCATCTTGAGGCCTGTGCTTGGGCCGTGCTTCTCACCAGGAGGGAACCACATGTCAAATGCCGTCACATGCTCTCTCACGCTTTGGGTGTCAGACTTGAGGGGCCTCTGACCCAGAGCCTTTTTCAGAGCAGAAGCAGCATGTGTGTTATGGCCACAGAATGGCCAGCCCCTTTGACTGACATTGCTAGGCTTGCTCGCCTCTCCAGGGGAATTACAACCTTTCAGAAGCAAAATGCCTTGAACAATCAGAGTCCACATACATTCGGTCCCCCAAGAGCTGGGAGAATCATTTCCCCACATCTAAGTGTCCTTGGTAGCCCCGACTTTCTGGGGAGAGCTTGAGTAGCTTTGCAAAGCCTCTGAAACTTCCTGTCCTAACAACTGATACGGACCCGGCGTTTGTAGCTAGGAAAACACACTCCTGATGGTGTGACCCAACAGAGCAAGTCGCCCGTGCCAGTCCTCTGTGTCCTCCAGGTCCCCTTATTCTCTGAGCTTTCTATGGCTGGAAAATACTTTTTCAGAGCTTTCTTTGAGAAGTCCAAAGTTTGTTTGTTTATTTATTTAGAGTCGGGGTCTCACTCTCTTGCCCCAGACTGGAGTGCAATATCATGATCATGACTTACCACAGCCTTGACTTCCTGGGCTCAGGCGATCCTCCTGCCTCTGCTTCCCGAGTAGCTGAGCCTACAGATGTGTGCCATCACACCTGGCTAATTTTTAAATTTTTTGTAGCGATGAGATATCACTATGTTGTCCCAGGCTGGTCAAAACTCCTGGCCTCAGGTAATCCTCTCTCCTCTGCCTCCCAAAGTGCTGGGATGACAAGTGAGAGCCACTGCATCTGGCCTCAAAATTTATTAATAAATGTATAATTACTTGTGCACAGTGAACTCTGGGTTGTACCATTTCCATTTTTAGGTACTTTTTTCTTAGAAAAAAAAAAACAACCAGCTTTGGGAGAAAATGTGTCAATGCCAACTTCTCATTTTTGACCGGTCAGACCCTGCACGCTCAGTCTTTCACTTCTTGGAAATTAAGCCATTTCCACTTATGAAGAAGAGCCCTCAGATGGTTTCTTATAGTAAGTGGGGGCGAGGGAGGGACTGGCAGATGGCTGGTCAGGAGTCCAGGGTATGGTCTCTCACAAGTGATACTTACTGAGTAGTGGTGACCAAGGTGGACTGGACACAAGCATGGCCAGACAGACAGACGTGACCCTGGAGTCGTGACAAAGTGTGATGAGTCTTACGTGACACGGGATAGAAGTGCCACCTGGACTCACACAGTCTCACCCGTGAGGCTGGGAAGGCTTCCTGGAGGAAAAACATTGAGCAAACCCAGCAGAGTGAAAGGCTGTCTGTATTGATGGCGTGGGGAGGGGTGAGGTCCTCACCCCTGGAGACTGGCAGGGAAAGGAGGGGTCTTAGGACCCATGCTGAGGGGGCTTTTTTTTTCTTGAGAGCTTTTTTTAGTTGTCCTACAAACATTCCTTCCCTTCCTACTACTCAGTACCAGCTGGCTGTGGGTGTGTCACTGATGGGCCACAGAAGTGAATGTTGACAAGTCCCTCATTTAACTCTGTTGACATCCACTTACAGAATAAAGACCCCCCCCCTTTAAAGTATCAATGGCAGCTAGGCTCGGTGGCTCAGCCTGTAATCCCGTGCTTTGGGAGGCTGAGGTGAGTGGATTGCCTGAGCCCGCGGGTTCGAGACCCGCCTGGGCAACTTGGTGAGACCTCATCTCTACAATAAATCAAAAAATCAGCCGGGTGTGGTAGCACATGCCTGTAATTCCAGCTACTCGGAAGGCTGAGGTGGAAGGATCGTTGGAGCCCAGCAGGTCGAGGCTGCAGTGACCAGGAGCGGCCACTGCACTCCAGTCTGGGCGACAGAGTGAGTCTCCTACTCAAAAAAAAAAAAAGTATTAATGACACTTTAGCAAAAGTGTTAACATTCCTTTTTGAACCCACTATCTTGATTTTAGATTTGCTGTAAGGTGACCCACAAGGCTCTGTGGTGCCTGAGAGTTCAGGCTCTGGTGTCTGACTGCCCAAGTTCAAAACCAGGCACTGTCATGAACTAGCCTTAAGGCTTTGGGCAGATTGTTGAACCTCTCTGTTCTGTGGTGTCCTCATCTGTGAAATGGAGGTACTGAATAGCACATCCAGGTGGTGTGATGACTACAAGAGAGACTCCATCTTGAACACTCATCCCTCACATGAAGCTGATATCCACAGTGCTATGTTTATTAAACCTGCTGTGCTCTCTCTGCAGACAGAGCTTGTGATGGATGCTATCCAGAAACAGAAGTGCCTCCAGTTCAAGAAAACCATGGATGTGAGTCATGTCTTATTGACTTTTTGGAAAATAATTGTGACATTTTCTAAAATCCTGTGCTGTGTATAAGCATAATTCTACTCAAATAACATTTTTTTTCTTTAAAAAAAATGTTTTTATTTTAAAGATGAGGGGTACAATCCAGGATTAAGTATATAAATATTTATTATGAAGGTACCCTTGTTGATAAACCCTACCCTGGCAGAATCCCACTACTGCAAATCCTGTTCCCCTACCCCTCGGCAATTTCCCACAGTCCTTTTCTTATAGTATTTCAATAATTGTTCAAGGTCCACTTATGAGTGATAACATGTGATACTCAGTTCTTTGTTTCTGTGATAGATCACTCAGTATTATAGACTTGAAGCCCATCCAAGTTGCTGTGAAGTTCATAATTTTGTCCTTCTTTATGACTGTATAATATTCCATCATGTATACGTACCACATGTTTTTTATCCAATCTTCTTTCAGTAGGCAGCACGGTTGGTTACATGTTCTTGCTGTTGTGAACAATGCTGCAGTAAACATGCATGTGCAGATATCTTTTTCATAGAGTGATTTGAATTCCTCCGGGTATATTCTCAGTAGGGGAATTGTGGAGTCGTATGGAAGGTTGATTTTTAGACATTTTAGGAATTGCCAAACTGTTTTCTACAGAGTTTGTACTAGTTTACACTCTCACCAACAGTGTAGAAGTGTTCCCTTTTCCCTGCATCCTCTCCAGTATCTGTTGTTTTTTGAGTTATTGATGACGGCCATCCTGACTGGAGTTAGGTGGTATATAACATTTCAGTAGTGTTATGATTTAGGCTGGGTGTGGTAGCTCACACCTGTAATCCCAGGACTTTGGGAGGCCAAGGTGGGAGGATCGCTTGAGTCCAGGAGTTTGAGACCAGCCTGGGCAACATAGTGAGAACTTATTTCTAGAAAAAAATCAGAAAAATTAGTCAGATGTGGCATGTGCCTGTGGTCCCAGCTATTCCGGAGGCTGATGCAGGAGGATTACTTCAGTCCAGGAGGTCACGACTGCAGTGAGCTATAATCATGTCACTGTACTCCAGTGTGGGTGACAGAGTAAGACTCCAACTTAAATACACACACACACATACACACACACACACACACACACACACACACACACACACACACACACACGGAAATATTGACTAAGCTTGATGCTGATGATGGTGAAAGCATGAGGAGATTAGGCCTCTAATGCTCTTAGAGGCTGTATGAATTGGTGCTGCCATCTTGCAGGGAGGTCTGATGAGTTTATAGTCTTTTGCCCGACAATTCACTTTCTAAGGATTTGTCTTATGTAGCTATAAATCCATGCTACTCAAAATAAAATCAGCGTATTTTTATATAAGTAAAAAAATGGGATCCAGTGATTTTCAAGAGCAAAATTTTAAAAAGGGAGCTTCGATACACGTTCACCAATAGAGAGTTGGTTAAGAAAGTTGTGGCAAGTAATGGCCATGCTTTTGCTTCCTTAAGCTTTGACCCCCTCCCCTGTGTTGGGGAGATAAATCGCCTCTCTTTCTCTCTAATCTACTTTCTAAATAAGCTATGTTTTCCAATAAGACAAGAAAGTTGTGGCATATAAAATATACACATGTGTGCATTTACAACCATTAAAACTGTTCAGCTGCAGGACTCAGTGCTGGACACAGAAATGTCTCCAATGTACTGTTTCATGAAAAATTGTTACATGGTTGTGGTGATCTGAATAGCTTATATTCTTACAATTTTGAAGAAATGTGAACTTCTATGTATGCACTGCATTGAGAGAGAATGGTAAGCTCGTTTCTGGAAGGCCAGCCCCAGCTGACTACAGGGGATGCCGGGAAGGATGGGAAGTCTGTGAAATATCTTATGAACCCCAAGCATCACTGCAAAGAAGCTGTCATTCTTGTTTTATTATTACTAATTTAAATTTTATTGGCTTTTAACTTCATTTATAAACACAATTGGTTTACAGAATTGTGTGTAATAGCTATAGAAATACAGTGTATATCTGCTTTTATTTTTTTATTTTATTTCATTTTTTTTTGAGTTGGGTCTCACTCTGTCGCCCAGACTGGAGTGCAGTGGCTGCTCCCGGCCACCGCAGCCTTGACCTGCTGGGCTCCAGGGATCCTTCCACCTCAGCCTTCTGAGTAGCCAGAATTACAGGCATGCGCTACTATGCCTGGCTGATTTTTGGATTTATTGTAGAGATGAGGTCTCGCTGCCCAGGCGGGTCTCGAACCCATGGGCTCAGGCAATACACTCACCTCAGCCTCCCAAAGGTGTGGGATTACAGACTGAGCCACCGAGCCCGGCTTCTGCTTTTATTTTTATCTATGTTTGAGAGTAAATATATATGATATGCATTTTTATATATAACCCCCACTTTAGAGATGGGGAAATCAAGGCATAGAGTGTCTAAGTAATTTGTGCAAAACACATAGACAATGGTGGGGCTGGGATTTGAATCAAGGCCCTCTGGTTGCAGTGCTTAGTCTCTGGTTGACAGATAGCCTCAGAGAACCAGCTAGACAGGGATTTGGAAGTGGGGCATAGTTGAGCATTTTCCCCCACCATTTAAATTTATTAGCTAACTGATTCCCAGCTTTGTTTGAACAAGTTACATCTTTGCTTCCATAGTTGAAACAGAAAATCGTCCTTTGATTCATGACTGTTTACAGTCTGTGAACGATTTCTGTAACACAGGTGGTCATGGTAGCCCAAGACAGACCATGGCTGGCTACTAAATGACATACAAAAGAATTCTTTAAGTCAAAAGCCAACATGACTATCCTTCAGTAAAAGAGATAATAGCATTGGTGCCCTCCCCGCCATCCACATGCCATGTTGAGGCACACGGAACACAGTGGCATCACTGGAATTAGAGTGAGTTGCTACCAATAACCGAATGATTGCACTCAGTTAGAAGATTATAAATACTATATAAATCCTTCGCTTCTGTCTATTTCAAATGCCATCCTATGTTCCAGTCTATTTTTAAACCTCATGTATTGTGTGTGTGTTGCTACCTAGGAGCTATGACTTCCTCAGTCAGGTCACCACTGCATGCGTAATTTGGAAAAGAGCTAGAGAGAAGAGAGACCTTTCAGAGGTTGATAGAAAGCACATGTGCCCTCTGGGAGCCCACTGCCTAGTGATGATCCCAGAACTACTCAGGGGGCCTGGTTTGTGTGGGCCTGTGGGCCAGCGTCGCTGTATTCAGGGTTACAGTCTGTTCACCTGTTTTGTCCTCTTTGTTCAAAACGACAAAGGCTAAGAAGAACTATGAGCAGAAATGCCGGGACAAAGATGAGGCAGAACTGGCTGTCAACCGGAGTGCCAACATGGTGAACCCCAAGCAACAGGAGAAGGTACCTAGGAGGACCTACCACCTGAGCAATACAAGATTTCTGATGATCAGCCAAAGTAAATTAAGAATTTTAATAAAAAATGTCCTTGGCATGGTGGCTCATGCCTGTAATCTCAGCACTTTGAGAGGCCAAGGCAAGAGGATCGCTTGAGGCCAGATGTTCAAGACCAGCCTGGGCAACATAGTGAGAGTTCATCTCTACAAAAAATAAAAAGTTAGCTGGGCATGGTGGTACACACCTGTATTTCCAGCTAGCGGGGAGGCTGAGATGGGAGGAGAATTGATTGAGGCTAGGAGTTTGAGATGAGCCTGGGGAACATAGGAAGACTCCATCTCTACAGAAAATGTTTTTAAAAATTAGCCAGGTGTGGTGGCACACAACTATAAGTTCCAGCTACTCTGGAGGCTGAGGCAGGAACATCGTTTGAGGCCAGGAGTTTGTGGTGGCAGTGCGCTGTGATCACGTCACTGTATTCCAGTTGGGGCGACAGAGTGAGACCCTGTCTCTTAAAAAAATAATAATTTTAATGTAAAAAATGAACCTATTGGGGGTTCTCTGAACAATAAAACCCCCCACCACATTTTTGGGGCTGGGAGAAGAACTGGAGCAGCCTGGCCATGAAGGAGAGAGTGGGGAGTTAAGAGGTGGAGGGGGGGCTGGGCTCGGTGGCTCAGCCTGTAATCCCAGCGCTTTGGGAGGCTGAGGTGAGTGGATTGCCTGAGCCCGCGGGTTCGAGACCCACCTGGGCAACTTGGCGAGACCGCATCTCTACAATAAATCAAAAAAATTAACCGGGTGTGGTAGCGCGTGCCTGTGGTTCCAGCTACTTGGAAGGCTGAGGCAGAAGGATCGCTGGAGCCCAACAGGTTGAGGCTGTGATGGCCGGGAGTGGCCACTGCACTCTAGTCTGGGCGACAGAGTGAGACTCCGACTCAAAAAAAAGAGGTGGAGGGGATTCTGATTTGTTTTCATCTTCCTTCAAAACCCAGCTCTTGTGTTCCTGTGGCTGGGCTGCCTCTTGCTTGGTTGGATTGTAAATTTAATTTTGTAAAATCTGGATATAAGATTTCAGCAACTAGCCAGGTGTGGTGGCTCACATCTGTAATCCCAGCACTTTGGGAGACGGAGATGAGAGGATTGCCTGAGCCCAGGAGTTCGAGACCAGCCTGGGCAACACGGCAAGACCTTGCCGCTATAATAAATCAAAAAATTAACTGGGCGTGGTAGCATGTGCCTGTGGGTCCAGCTACTTGGAAGTCTGAGGTGGAAGGATCGCCTGAGCCCAGCAAGTAGAGTCTGTGGTGGCCGTGAGTGTGCCACTGCACTCCAGCCTGGGCAACAGAGTGAGACTCCAACTCAAAAAAAAAAAAAAGTTTTAAGCAACCAAAACCCAGGGGTATGTTTTTAGGAAGACGTAGGGCAAAATGCTCTGTGTTACTTCCTGATAGTGACAAGATTGGAGGGCAAGTTGAATGATTTGCTCACGAGGGAAATGCAGGTAGCACTTGGAGTCGTTGCCTTAAGTCTGTTTTGCCTGTGGACATCTGGCCCAGCGTTCCCAGTTCTTGTTCTCTTTTTGTCTCCACAGCTTTTTGTGAAACTGGCAACTTCAAAGACTGCAGTAGAGGACTCGGGTGAGGAGGCTGTGCCTACTGAAGGGGGTGGTGGTAGAGTCCATGTGGCGTCCGTGTGTCTCTGAGAAAGGCAGTTTATATACCTCACAGTAAAGACATATGGACATAAAGTAGGACTGACAAGACATCGGAAGGGAAGAAGGGAGGAATGAAAGGAGAGAAGGAGAAGGGAGGAAAGGAACAGAGAGTAGGGGCTGGGCATAGCGGCTCGTGCCTATAATCCCAGCACTTTGGGAGGCTGAGGTGGGAGGATCGCTTGAGCCCAAGGAGTTTGAGACCAGCCAGAATAACACAATGAGATCCTGTCTCTGTTAAAAAGAAATATTTTTAAAATATTTTTTTTTCAAAAAGGAAAGAAAGAGAGGCAAGTCATGGTGGCTCACACTTGTAATCCCAGCACTGGGAGATTGCTTTAGCCCAGGAGTTTGAGACCAGCCTGGACAACATAGTGAGACCTTGTCTCTACAAAAAAATTTTTAAAAATAGCTGGGTGTGGTGATGCGTGCCTATAGTCCTAGCAACTCGAGAGGCCGAGGCAGGAGAATCACTGGAGCCCAGGAGGTCGAGATTGTGGTGAGCCGTGATTGTGCCATGTCACTCCAGCCTGGGCATCGGAGTGAGACCCTGACTCAAAAACAAATAATAAAGATCTTTAATTAGACTTTTTTTTAAAAAAGGGAGAGGAGGCAGGAAGGGAGGGGAGGGAGGAAGGGAGGGAAGGTAAGAAGGGAGAGAAGGGAGGGAGTGGGGGAGGGAGGAAAAGAGAGGGGGGAGGAAGTAGGGCATCTCAGAATCCCACAGAGTGGGAAGAAAGGGGCAGCAGGGTCTGGCTGCTGCCTGCTTGGGTCTTGCTGCCTTACAGGAACATGAATGGTGGAGTCTTGTGACAGCTGCTTTGTAATCAGGTGCCCACTCTGGTTTTCTGGGGACATGTATCTAGGAACTCACTTCAGCCCTGGCAGCCCTAACCTGCTGGGAGACAAACAGTCAAGTTGCAAGGCCTCATTGTCACTGAAATCTAAGACCATGCCAGGTGTTTGCAAAGGGTTCTAACACCCAGGATCTCCTGCAGGAAGCCACCTTCTTGTGACTGTGGCCACTTACGATCTTTGTCTCACAATCCAGAACTAAAGCAACTTGATGCCCCTTGAGGGCTCCCCAGACAACTTGCCTAAAAACAAAAAGTGATGGGAAACAGTGAGATGGAATTAGACAAAGACAAGCCTGGCTGAGACTGTTCCAGAAAGAAACCAGAGCCCTTTCCTTCCTCAGAGGGCTTCTTGTTCAGGGCTTGGTTCAGTGTTTAAAATGCAAGTGGTAAACTGGGCTCGGTGGCTCAGCCTGTAATCCCGTGCCTTTGGGAGGCTGAGGTGAGTGGATTGCCTGAGCCCGCGGGTTCGAGACCCACCTGGGCAACTTGGAGAGACCTCATCTCTACAATAAATCAAAAATGAGCAGGGCGTGGTAGCGCGCACCTGTAGTTCCAGCAACTTGGAAGACTGAGGCGGAAGGAGTGCTGGAGCCCAGCAGGTCGAGGCTGCGGTGGCCGGGAGCAGCTACTGCACTCCAGTCTGGGCAACAGAGTGAGACTCCAACTCAAAAACAAAACAAAACAAAACAAAACAATAAAATGCAAGTGGTGCCCTCATTCACTTATTTGGCAGAGACATTGTGGGGTGAGAGATGGAATCATACCCATGCGAACCTCAGTGCTCCTTGTAGCCTCATGAGCTTAGCACGGCTCTGTGTTTCTTCGCCATCTGAGCTGAGCCCGTGGCGTGGGTCTACGAGCCACTCTTTTGCTTAGTTTCTGAGTCAGGTGCGCTTCCTTCTTTTGCAGATAAAGCATACATGCAGCACATCAATGCACTGGACAGAGTCCGAGAGGAGTGGCAGAGTGAGCACATCAAGGCCTGCGAGGTACCAGGACTCAGGGCTGCTCAGGATGGGTGGGTCTTGCCCTGAGAGCCTGGACAGTTGATTTTTGTCCCAGTTCTCATAGAGTTGAAAAGTTTGAGGGGAAAATCAGAAATTTAAGTGAAGGCTGGGTACGTTGGCTCATGCACGTAATCCCAGAAACTTAGGATGCTGAGGTGGGAGGATCACTTGACCCCATAGAGTTTGAGACCAGCCTGGGCAACAAAGCAAGACTTCATCTCTGCAAATAAAATAAAATAAAATTTAATTAGCCAGGCGTGGTGGCACCTGTAGACCCAGCTACTCAGGAGGCTGAAGCCGGAGGATGTCCTGAGCCCAGGAGGTAGATGTTGCAGTGAGCCGTGATTGTGCTACTGCACTGCAGCCTGGTCCACAGAGTAAGACACTGACTCAACAACAATATTTAAAAAAAAAAAAAAAAAGCAAGAAACATAAGCAGAGAATGGAAAGGACTGGAAGAGTTTCCTCAGCTCATCTTTCTGATCCTCCCCCTCCTGACCACGCCCGCAGCCCTGTTGAGAACTGAGCCTGATGATTGGTAGTGAAGGCACAAAATCATGGTTGGTTAGTGGTTGATGATGTCATAACCTCTGAGAGCCCTGCCTGTGCCCGTGGAGTTCAAGGGCAGGCAGATGGCAGGTGAGTGGGCTTCTCGGCTTAGCATTTAACTCTCCGCACGCCTCTGATGTCATCACCCCACTCTTGCATCCTCAGCACGTGACCTCACAGTTCCCCAGAGAAAATGTCAGACCTAACCTGGAAGCTTCCCCAAGTCTCAGGTGCCCTGCCTGCATGTTTTCTCACCAGCGGTTCTCAAGGTTGGGTCCTGTGACCGGTGACATCAGCATCATCTGGAACTGGTCAGAGATGCAAATCCTCAGCCCAACCCCAGGTCTGCTAACTCAGAAGCACCTTCCCAGGAATTCTGATGCAAATTCGAGCATGAGAATCGCTGATCTGCACACCCACTCTGCTCTGTTTCTGCTGTTAGCATAGAAAAGGGGCTGCTTCCTGCTCTTTTGGGAGCTCATTCCATCCAGAGAGCTTTCCCCGCCACCCCTCCTGGGCACAGAGCACTTGTGGGCTTCTGTTATCTTGTGCTCAGACTCACCTCATTCCTGGCTTTAACACCCACCAGCTCAGCCAGGCGCCATGGAACACTCCTGTAATCCCAGCACTTTGGGAGGCCGAGGTAGGAAGATCACTTGAGCCCAGGAGTTTGAGACCAACCTAGGCAACATAGCAAGATCATTTCTCTATTAAAAAAAATTTAATTTAAAAAGACCCAGCAGCTCTTGCTTCCCATCTGTGACTGCTCCTTCCTTCCCAGCCACGCTTTTTGAAGGCTGCGTCTCCAAGTTTCTGTCCCTGCCTGTCTGGAGGGCACCAGTCATCCCCCAAGTGTGGGGTCCAGTGGGCCTTTGACATTTCTGATCTCATGTGACCTGTCTCTACCCTCTGATGCTGTGAGTCCCTTTGCCCCTCTGGAGACAACCTTTTCTGCATTACTTCCCCAACTCCACACTTGGGAAGTCTTGGGATGAGGCCATTCTTATAAGGTTTAAAAACATGCAAAACGATAAAAAGATGGGTCTTTTAAAATACATTTTGTGGATACATATGTGGTGTAGAAACCTGCCTGGGAATGATAAAATTTAGGATATTGGCTGGGTGTAGTGGCTCATGCCTGTAGTTCCAGCACTTTAGGAGGCTGAGTCAGGAGGATTGCTTGAGCCCAGGAGTTCAAGACCAGCATGGGTAACATAATGAGACCTCGTCTCTCTAGAAAAAAAAAAAAAAAAAGTTAGCCAGGTGTGGTTGCATGTAGTCCTAGTTACTCAGAAGGCTGAGGTGGGAGGATCACCTGGGCATAGGAGGTGAAAGGCTGCAGTGAGCCGTGATTGCACCACTATACTCCAGCCTGGGTGACAGAGTGAGACCCTGTCTCAAAAAAGAAAATAATAATGTAATATTTTAAATAAAAGTAATGCAATACTATTGCAGTATTATACATTATTATACAGATATTAAAACATTTAGCGGTGAAATAATGCATTTACTTCAAAATACTTCAGGAAGTTGAGTAGCTGGAAGGGATAGAAATAAAACAGTCTTGGCTGTGAGTTGATAAACATTCAAGCCAGTGATGGGCACACAGGGCTTCTTCACCCCATCCACACTTCTCTACTTTTGAAGTTTTATATTATAAAAAGTTTTGTGAGCTATAATGGCTCCACCGCAATCCAGCCTGAGTGACAGAGCGAGACTCTGTCTTTAAAACACATACATAAGCAGAAAAAGCCAAGCAGTTTTATATTATAAAAAGTTTCAAAATATAAAGCTATGGTATTTAATACTTTAAAAATACACTGATATACAACATCCACTGTTGAATAGAATAGCATTCACTCTGTAGAATAGCTTGATTTTTCAAAAGTAATATTTGCTTATATCCAAAAAATTATATTCCAGACAATCACTTTTAACTTTTTTTTCTTTTCTCTCTCTATTTTTTTTTATTTTGAGTTGGGGTCTCACTCTGTCACCCAAGCTGGAGTGCAGTGATCTGAACACAACTCACTGCAGGCTCAAACTCCTGGGCTCAGGCGATGCTCCTGCCTCAGCCTCCCAAGTAGCTGGTACTACAAGTGTGCATCACCACACCTGGCTAATTAAAAATTTTTCTTTTGTAGGGCAATATCTCACTATGTTGCCCAGGCTGGTCTCACACTCCTGGGCTCAAGTGATCCTCCTGCCTCGGCCTCCCAAAGTGCTGGGATTACAGGTGTGAGCCATCATACCTGGCTTATTTTAATGTTGTTTAAAGAAAAAATTTAAACATACACACTGTTAGAAGCCAAGTGCAAGTACCCTCAGGTACTCATCAACTAACCAGCGTCGACAGTTACAGCCATCCTGCCAGTCTTGTGCACTCCGGGGTGGGGGGGGGCAACGTTTGGAATCTGGGGCTCTGGCAGTCTGCCTGGTGGAGGTGATCAATAGGCGGGTGAAAATGTCAACTGGAACTCAAATGAAAACACTGGTGTCCAGGATCACCACTTCTTCTCTTCAGAACTGTATCCGATCCAGTTTGTGTTAACATGTATCAGGACCATTTGCTGTCTTTGCAGTGTGAGTTTGTGAGCATCTTTGGAGGGGGATATCCTCTCAACTGGACATAAGTTTACAGATGATCGAAAGTTGACACCTTCTTGAGTCACAGCCCATCTAGATGAGTAGCCTGTTTCTTGGCTGTTGTATAAACATGACGTTATCTTTCCATAGGTGTTTGAGGCACAAGAATGTATACGAATAAACTTCTTACGGAATGCACTTTGGCTCCATGTGAATCAGCTGTCACAGCAGTGTGTCACGAGTGACGAGGTGAGTCCTAGGCCTCCCCAGAGGACTCTTCCCGGGCAAGTCACAGATGTTTATGAGCTCACCACTTCCACCTTATTTGAGGCCAGCGAGGTAAGGGAACTTGCCTGAGGTCACACAGTGAGTGATGGAAGGACCCAGATGAACATGTAACCTGCCCGACTTCTGGTCCATTTACTACCATATTTTCTCATTAAGAAATTCAGCTCCAGGGGCGGCAGCTCACTCCTATCATCCCAGCAGTTTGGGAGGCAGAGGCGAGAGGGTTGCCAGAGTCTAGTGGTTCAAGAACAACCTGGGCAACTTGGCGAGACCTCAACTCTACAATAAATCAAAAAATTAGCCGGGCATGGGGTCATGCACCTGGAGTTTGGCTACTTGAGAGGCTGAGGCAGAAGGATCTCCTGAGCCCAGCAAGTGGAAGCTGAATTGACCGTGAGCGTGCCATGGCACTCCAGCCTGGGCAACAGAGTGAGACACCGACTCAAAAAATAAAAAGAAAAATTCAGAGTTAGGGCAAAAATAAATAAATAAATAAATGAAAAGAGAAATGAAATTCAGAATTAGGCCAGGAAAACAGAGACAGGATCCCAAGCACAGTTTAATATATGGAAGACAGAGATGTCACAGCATGATGTCATAGAGATGGCCCCTATCTGGAATAGGGTCATTCCAGGACAGCACCAAGTCTTAGGAGAGTGTCCTCCATCCAGGCTGGTAGCCATTCCAGGGCTCAGGAACCTCAGTGACAGTGTGGTTAGGCCCATGATCCAGGCTTCACTCGTGTACGGCGGTTGTCCTGGGCTTCCAGGTCTCAGAGGCAGCAAATCAAATTCCCACAACCTCCTTTGCTAAGAAGTAGCCACTTGCAATTAGATGGGACTCGTACCTTAGAAGAACAATTAGCTAGGTGCAGTGGCTCACGCCTGTCATCCCAGCACTTTGGGAGGTGGAGGTGAGAGGATTGCCTGAGCCCAGGGGTTTGAGACCAGCTTGGGCAACTTGCCAAGACCTTCTCTTTACAACAAATCAAAAAAATTAGCTGGGCATGGTGGCACGTGCCTGTAGTTCCAGCTACTTGGAAGGCTGAGGCAGAAGGATTGCCTGAGTACAGCAGATCAAGGCTGCAGTGGCTGTGAGCGTGCCCTGTACTCCAACCTAGGCAACAGAGTGAGACTCGGACTCAAAACAAAACAATTAAGCACCCAGAAAGCCAATGGAAGTGAATGCAAGAACTTTCCTTCAAGTTAAATCATCGTCTCTGTGTCTGTGTGTGGCATTGGTCTTCTGTCATGGGACTTGGCATCTATTTTTTTGGTCTCAGTATTAAAAAAAAATTTACAGTCACAATTTTTGCCCTGCCACAAAGGCATATTTCCCGTCATTTAAAAAAATCAACAGCAGATATGCACCTGAGAAAAGCCCTAATACCAATCTGGGACTTGTCTTTTTTTTTTTTGAGTTGGAGTCTCACTGTGTCAACCAGGCTGGAGTGCAGTGGCAGGCTCATGGCCACTGCAGCTTTGACCTGCTGGGCTCAGGTGATCCTTCACCTTCAGCCTTCCAAGTAGCTGGAACCACAGGCATGTGCCACCATGTCCGGCTAAGTTTTTGATTTATTGTAAAGACGAGGTCTTGTCATGTTGCCCAGGCTGGTCTCTCACCTCGGCATCCTAAAGGGCTGGGGTTACAGGCCACCATGCCTGGCTCTTTTTCTTTTCAAAACAACATTTGGGAAAGACTCAGTTGTTTACCAAACCTCCTGTTTTAGTGAAATGGGCCACAAGGGTCACCCACACACCTCTGCCTACTGACAGATCTTCTTTCTGTTAGATGTACGAAAACGTCCGCAAGAGCCTGGAAATGTGTAGCATTGAGAAGGACATTGAATACTTTGTGAATCAGCGTAAAACTGGGCAGACCCCACCAGGTGACTGGGGCCGTGAGGTGGGGAGGGTTGTTTAAACTAACCCACTAGTCTTTCCTGCTAGATGTCATTGAGGATGAAAGACATCTGCCTCTCATGTTTTGTCTCACTGAATGTCCTAGCTCCCATCATGTATGAGAATTTCTACAGCCCCCAGAGGAACGCAGTCCCACCAGGAAAGCCAACAGGCCCTAACTTGGCAAGGTAATACATGGCCTTTCAAAGGAGAAAAAACCCTTTGAATAAACATTGTTATTATGAGTGTTCTGAGACACACTAGAATTAAAACAGACCTGCCACTGCGTTTGCTTGGTGAAGCTGCTAGCTTTTTGGAAATAGCATTTTTAGGACACACATAATGTGGATTTTAATAACCATAGTTTAGGAAGGACTGTCTTATGCTTGAATGTGATCATTATGACTCATTTATAACTCCAGTATCTTGATTACAGCCTGTGGAAAGCAGGAGTCAGTGAACTGTTTTTCTAGGACCCGTGAGTTGAGGATGGTCTTTACACGTTGAAATACCTGGAAAAAGATCAGAAGGATACTGTTTTGTGACATGTGAAATTTAAATTTCAGTGTTTCCTTTTTTTCTTTTTTTGAGTTGAAGTCTCACTCTGCCACACAAGCTGGAGTGCAGTGGCATGCTCAAGGCCCGCAGCTTCAACTGCTGGGCTCAGGCAGTCCTTCTGCTTCAGCCTTCCAAGTAGCTGGAACTATAGGCATGCGCCTCCATGCCCAGCTAAATTTTTGATTTATTGTAGAGATGAGGTCTCGCCATGTTGCTAAGGCTGGTCTCCAACCCTTGGACTCAGGCAATCCCCTCACCTCCCAAAGTGCTGGGATTACAGGTGTGAACCACCATACCCAGCTAAATTTCAGTGTTTCTATGTGATGCTTTATTGGAACACAGGTACCTACAGCTAAGTTTTGTCTCTGGCTGCTTCCACACTGGAGTTGAGAAGTGTCACAGCAGAGATAGCACTTGGCCCACAAAGCCTCAATCATTGGCTATTAGACCCTTCACAGAAAAAAAATTCTGCCTTCCATAGAAAGGATCCTGAGGAAAGAGAAGCTTTCATTTCACATAGAGTCATCTTGAAGCCTAAGCTTTGGTTTCGTTGTTTGAATCAGGGTCTTACTCTGTCGCCCAGGGTACAATATGCCTATAACGTGAAGTAGAAAGTTATAAAAATATGAAGAACTTATCTGAAAGACTTTGGTTTTCATTTCTTACAGGAGAGGACCTCCCCCAATTCCTAAAAGCTTACCAGGTATGCCACCAAGAAAGGCCTTTTGAAGTCCTTATGTTAGGTTCTCTTCAAAGTTGAATAACTACAACTTTGAAATGAAGAAAACAAAAGGGTTAAATGGAATCGAATTCCCAAGAGAGTGAGTCTATATGAGAATCTTACTAGAATTTGTCAGAGTGGAATATGGTAATTGGTGGTCTAATTTATGGCTTATCCAAGAGAATTTTGTTACTGAAGTACAAAAAGAAACTTATTGTAAGGTCATCTTATCTAAGAGATTATTTCAACTTGGACCATGAGAACAGCAGAACTGAGATATAGTTCCCTTTGGATTACACAGAAATATACTTTATAGGAGGCACGGGTGTCTAGAAACATGTAACTAAATATTGTGTGTTTTGTACCTGCCCATAATGAGATCTTTCACTAGTCACGCTGGTCTCTTTTTTTCTCTGAATTCCCGTGACACCTTTGGGAGGAATGTGCACCTTATCACTTTTTGTTAGTTTGTGCTCTGGCTAATAGTGAGATCCTGAGGCTGGAATTTGGTCTTCCCCCGTATCACTCACATACCTGAGTATTCAACAAGTATTTATTATTTGAGTAAAAAATATATATATCTGTATACATTTAGGAATGAGAGGAGAACAACTTATGCTGTATTTAGCAGCCAGCAAAAATTTAGTGATTGAAAAAAAAATGTAGTGGCTGAAATTATATCTTTGAACAATATAAGAATTTAAGTTATTTTCTCTCTCTTTTTTTGAGTTGGAGTGTCACTCTGTCACCCAGGCTGGAGTGCCACAGCCACCATAGCCTTGACCTGCTGGGCTAAGGAAATCCTTCTGCCTCAGCCTCCCAAGTAGCTGGAACTACAGGCATGCACCACCACTCCTGGTTAATTTTTTGATTTTTATAGAGATGAGGTCCTGCCAAGTTACCCAGGCTGGTCTTGAACACTTGGGCTTAGGCAGTCCTCTCACTTCAGCCTCCCAAAGTGCTGGAATTACAGGCCTGAGCCACCATGCCCAGCCTATTTTCCCTTTTGTTGTTTTATAATTACCACTCAATAATGTAGGATGTTATTGTGATTCATTTTGGAGGACGATTTTACTATGGGTGCTGCAGTCTGAGCATGGAGGAAAGAGGATGAATAAGCCGGAATAGTGATTTCCCGGATGTTCTCTGATTTGTCATCATGTCTCCCATGCATAGGCTTTGTGGGAGATTCGTTTTTCTTCTTACAAAAGAGCAGCCAGGGGAGTGAGGGGAGGAAAAAAAAAAAAAAAGCAGTTGCCAGAATCTTTAAGTGGATTACCTTGGCTTGAAAGGGGCTAAGATCTTACCATGAATAAGTATGATCTCACACTGTATGTCCTGCTCTTCACAGATGACCCCGATTATTCTCTGGTGGACGGCTATAGTTTGCTCTATCAGTAACATCCGTGGTAAGGACCTTTGATTTGCCACAATCAAGTTGCATTTATTTATTTATTTATGCATCAGAGTCTCCCTCCATCGCCCAGGCTGGAGTGCAGTGGCACAATCACAGCCATTGCAGCCTCAACCTGCTGGGCTCAGGCAATCTTTCTGCCTCAGCTTCCTAAGTAGCTGAGACTATAGGCTCATACCACCACATCAGCTAATTTTTTGATTTATTATAGAGATGAGGTCTCGCCATGTTGCCTAGGCTGGTCTCAAACCCCTGGGCTCAGACAATCCTCTCGCCTCCCTCTCCCAAAGTGCGGGAATGACAGGTGTGAGTCACTGTGCCTGGCATTCAAGTTGCATTGAGATACGTGATTGTGCTTTAGAAGCATTTGGATGGCCACATAGGCCAGGGTGGTGTCACCTGTCTGCAGGCTTGTTAAATACCTTCGCAAGGTTGGAGTGGGTGCTGACACGCATGGTACATTTAAATGAAATTTCTTCATCCTTTTCTTTCAGAAACAGCTTTTTACAGCAAGTGTGTTTATGGCATGGAAAAATATCTCCAGAGTCCTAGAATGTATAGCCATGTTACGTCAGTCATGAAGACTGTGGAGTGAACCCTTGCTGTAATGTTTTAATAGTTTAGATTTCTGGTAGACATTTAGTACAACTTAAGTTCATAGAGTTCTGTGATTTTTAAAGGAAATTTAAAAATCGCAGATTACCCTAGTCTGAAGAATTCTTCCTTCCCAGTTAGTTACTTAAGCTGTGAATGAATTGTTTTCAATGTGGGAAGCAGGAAAGTGTCTGGATTTGGAGTGCTGGCTTGGCAGGGGTAGAGGTGGCTATGATGGAGTGCCAGCCAACTGCAGGAGCTCCTCTGGCCTTGGGCAACCTTGCTCTGGGATTTCTACTGCAACACACACTCTCAGCGGGACATGATGTCACATTACCTTCTGTGTGGCTGGAAGACTTCAAAACCGTCTGATGGCACTGTCTGATCTGACAGACAAGGAAACAAAGCCTAGATGTGTGAAATTCATTTCCTCGCAGTCCTCCTGGCAGACAAGGGACAGACCCCAAGCCAGAGCTTGAGCCCAGCCCATGTCTCTGTTCCTCCACTCCTGCCTGAGGCTGGGATGCCCATACTGAAATCTAAGATGCCACCTATTTTTGCCAGCACTTTCTCAATTGGGAAAATGACCAGGGTTTAAATGCTAGATTTATTTTTATGTGGATCCCTGTGTATACTGGACTACAGGGCGCCATGTTAATCTAATTAAAGAAACCATTGATGGAAAAACATGTCACTATTTTATGTTGCATTAAGAAGGGGGCCGGGGGAGGTGCCAAAGAGCTTGTAACAAATCATCAACAGCTAAGGCCATTTGAATTTGAGATGCTGAAGTGTGAGAAAAAGTGCATCCTGGAATCAGTGACATGTGGCATTTTGATTTTATTCCCCATGAGAATTCTAGAGCTCCAAAGCCAACCCTCAGTACCAGGTCTTCTCAGGGATACTTTCCCTTGCTCGACCACAGAATCTTTCAAGTGTCCATCTTGCGCTTTCCCAAGTATTTGAGTCTTCCTTTATTACCCACACACAGTAGAGCGTTGATGGGCCTTTGTACAACATTTGCACACTGTGAGAAAATGGCACATGTTAGTGAATGACAAGTTAAACTGGCACTGTCACTTGTTCAATGTGTTGGAAAGTTCTGTGTTACCATGAAGAGCAAACGGTTTTCCTCCTCCTCTGTGCAACAGCTTTCCCAGAACTCTGGGCAAATAGATTGAAAAAAGATTGGTGATCTCCCCGCCCTTCATGTAAGGTGCCGCTGAATGTGGCAGTTGCTTGTTGTGACAGGAAACTTGCGCCACTTGGATGTCCTCTTGAGAAACTGAAGTTTGCAGAGGGTCAAACTTCCCCAATCTGAATGGGCTCGGGAAATTCTCTTCACACTCAGAACATTCTGTTTTTAAGTATATTATTTATTGTTGGCAGTTTCTCAGGGATCTCACTTTTCTCTCTGTCGGTCATGAAATTGGCATAAAAGTGTTTTCAGAATGGAAAATCAAATTTTTGTTTTACTGCTCATTCAGTTTGATGCAAAAATAAAATAAAGGCTCTTGATTTGGAATTTTTTTGTGTGTTTTTGTATTGACAGTGTTTCTCTTCCAAGCTTTGTTTGACGCCTTGTCACGTTTGTGACTCTTGGGCTTTGGAAGATAAACTACTGGTTAGGAAGGCCACCACTCCCTCTGACCCTTCGGGTGTCAACAGCAACAGCAACCCCTCTGGGAGGCACTGTCCCTGCCTCTAGGCTAGGTGGGATCCCTCTCTGGTATTCTCTCCCTCCTCCATTTTCCTTGTTTTCTTTCCCCCTCTGGTGTTCTCTCCCTCCTCCATTTTCCTTTTTTTTGTCTTTTTTTTTTTTTTGAGTCAGAGTCTCACTCTGTCATCCAGGCTGGAGTGCAGTGGCATACTCATGGCCACTGCAGTGGTGACCTGCTGGACTCAGGTGATCCTTCCTCCTCAGCCTTCCAAGTAGCTGGAGCCACAGGCGTGTGCCACCATGCCCAGCTAATTTTTTGACTTATTGTAGAGACGAGTTCTCGTGAAATTGCCCAGGCTGGTCTCGAACCCCATAACTCAGGCAATCCTCTCGCCTCTGCCTCCCATAGTGCTAGGATGACAGGTATGAGCAACTGCACCCAGCCCATTTTCCTTGCTAATACATGAATCACTCTTGAAATTAACTGCTCGAGGTCTGTCTCCTTCCTAGACTATAACCTCCATGATAAAAGGGTCCTTGTCTGTACTTTTTCCTGTTGTATCCCCAGTATCTAATGCATAGCAGTAGACATGAAAGAATTAGTGACTTATAAGAAAACATAACTAGAGAGAACTGACTCATGCCTGTGATCCAAGCACTTTGGGAGGCCAAGGTGCGAGGATTGCTTGAGCCTGGGAGTTCCAGATCAGCCTAGGCAAAATAGCAAGACCTCATCTCTACAAAAAAATTTGAAAAATTAGCTGGGAGTGGTGGCATGTGCCTGTAGTCCCAGTTTCTCAGGAGGCTGAGGCAGGAGGATTGCCTGAGTCTAGGAGGTCGAGGCTGCAGTGAGCTGTGCTTGAGCCACTGCACTCCAGCCTGGGTGACAGAGGGAGACCCTGACTTAAAGAAAGGAAAAAAGAAAGAAAGAAAGAAAGAAAGAAAGAAAGAAAGAAAACAGCAAGAGAAACCACCACCTGGAAGAAAAATAAGTAGTGTGAAGAGTGTGAAGGCAGCACAATGAGTATATGTGCTACATTTAGTTAACTGGAGTGACTCTGGATACTGTTGGTATATTAACTTGGGCTCCACCAGGAACACATCCTCAAATAAGGATCTGACTGCAAGTACCTTTTCTGGGAGTTGATCCCAGAAAGCACCCGTGTGGAAGTGGGGAAGTGAGACAGAGGAAAGGAAGGAAAAAAAGCACACGTCAGCCGGGCTTGGTGACTCAGCCTATAATCTCGTGCTTTGGGAGGCAGAGGTGAGTGGATTGCCTGAGCCCGCGGGTTCACGACCCGCCTGGGCAACTTGGTGAGACCTCATCTCTACAATAAATCAAAAAATCAGCCAGGCGTGGTAGCGTATGCCTGTAATTCTGGCTACTTGGAAGGGTGAGGCAGAAGGATCGCCGGAGCCCAGCAAGTCGAGGCTGCGGTGGCTGGGAGCAGCCACTGCACTCCAGTCTGGGCGACAGAGTGAGACTCCAACTCAAAACAGACAAACAAAAAAAAGCAAGTGTTGTTGAGGAAGCTCCACGTGGGTGGTTGGGGCTTGCTCCCACTGGAGATGCCCAGGAAGGTGTGGGACATACACTCAGAGGCATCACACCAAGGGATGAGGGAGCTGGGTGTTTACTCACCAACTCCTGTCATCCCTGGCTGAGGGCTGCTCTCGGGAGACATTTCTTTCCAGGCAATCTGGGCTGCCCTGAAAGCTGGCAGTGCAAGTGATGGTGACAGAGGCCACGCTTACCTCTTTGTTCCCAGACCTGTGTGTTTTACCTACTGGAGCCATAACATACAGTAATGTATTATGGCCTTCTAGACACTAATGCCTCATCTCCAAGGCCAGCATGCCAACCCTGGGAAGTGCCATTCACAAGCTGCCCCAGATGTGAGAGACCATGCCATGTTCTATGAGGGCAGCAGCTTCTATATGATGTGGTATTCAGGGGACAAGGGGGGCCTGGGGACATTTGCCTATTGATGTGCCAACTTCTCTGAAGGGAAGCTCTTGGTGTAAGGCATGCATTCTCAGCAGGGAAGTATTGATCCCAAAGGGGTGACAATTTGCTCTTGATGGTTAAAATGAAGTGAACTGTTTAATAAAATCTATAGGCTAGGTGCAGTGGCTCATGCTTATAACCCCAGTACTTGGGGAGGCTGAAGTGGGAGGATTGCTTGAGCTTAGGAGTTTGAGACCAGCATAGGTGACATAGCAACACCTTGTCTCTACAAAAATAAAATAATTAACCAGGCATGGTGATGTGCACCTGTAGGCCCAGCTACTAGGGAGGCTGAGGTGGAAGGATCACCTGAGCCTAGTAAGTTGAAGCTATGGTGAGCTGTGATTGTGTCACTGCACTCCAGCCTGGGTGACAGAGTGAAATCCTGACTCAAAAAATAGAATAAAAATCTTTTTAAATCTATAAAATACCAATATACATATAGTGCATAAACACAGATGCAGTATATCTGTGGTGTTAAAATTTCATAGAGGTGGCAATTAGGAAAAAAATGTCTAAAAAGGTTCCTTAGTGGGTGCCCCATTCCCTGCTATGTGTCAGGCTAGCACAAGAACTGAGGCCCTGCCTGGTGATTCAGACTGGGTGAGTGATCCCAAGATGCTTTGAGTCAGTTCATCCCTTCCCATATGTGAGTCATGGATCCCATGTGGGAGGAGTCCTGGTCAGGGCACAGTAGGCAACCAGAACCCAAGTAGAACAGGGAAAAAACCCTTGCTTGGTCAGTTACCATGAATGTGGCTTACACAAGCAGAGCCTATTGCTGGCACCCAGGCGGGGAAGGCTCACCTGCAGAGTGAGCCCAGCTGGAGCCCACTGCCACCAGCTGGTGGCCAGCCACCCAGCCAGACCAGGGAGAATCATCTCCAAGTCCTGCATGCCTACATGGCAGATTCTCCCCCACTGCCCCATGGTAAAGAACTCACTAGAGCCGGGCTCGGTGGCTCAGCCTGTAATCCCACGCCTTTGGGAGGCTGAGGTGAGTGGATTGCCTGAGCCCGCGGGTTCGAGACCCGCCTGGGCAGTGGGACTTCATCTCTACAATAAATAAAAAAATCAGCCGGGCATGGTAGTGCATGCCTGTAATT